AGTATAAAGTCAAAACATCATAGCACCCGAGCAACACTGTTTTCGCCAGCACCGTTTATGCACTAACAACCGACTGAGTGCACGCAGTAGTTAGAATGACGCGGCCGTTACAAGCAGAGGGGCAGACGTCATTTACCTCGATTTCTCCAAAGCCTTCAACCGACTGGACCAACGCATTTTGCTTTGCAGGCTCGAAAACTATGGGGTTGGGGATACTTTGCTTCAGTGGATCCGGAATCTCCTGAAGGAGCGGCATTTGCAAGCCAGAGTTCAAAGTACGCTGCCCTAATCGATTCAAGACGAACGTGGAGTTCCACTGGGACCAGTTCTGGAGCCGCGTCTGTTTCCCGTGTTCATTAAAAAGCTTATTTGTTTGATTGCCTCAGATTTCTTGCTGTTCTATGCTGATATGGTTATGGTGGACGATCGTCAACTCAGGAGACAACGCCGATTTCAACGAGACCTGGACAGGGCGTGTGTGTGGTTACTACGCAATCTGCTCGTTAAAGTTGGAGAAGTGTAAGGTTGCGCACGTTCGCCACCAGCCGCACATTAAGTCTAAGCATGGAGGTCATGTCTTGCAAGCGGCTACCCAAAGGCACCACCTTTGGTTACTAGTAAATGCTAAGAAGTACTGCTCAGAAAAACCTGAGAAGGCCTCAAAGACAAGGAGCCAACATGTTGGTATGCTGCAAGGGCATTCGGGCGGTTTTATCCTACTGTCTGATTGCAGTTGCTTGACGCCTACATGCGGCCTCATGTGGAATAAGTAATCCAGGCCTGGTGGCACTAGCACAACCAATACCTTGGGGCCCTTGAGACTCCACAGCTACTAGCCACGAAGCACGTCAAAGAGCTGCACAATCTTTCCTATCCACTTAGTCTGAGGACCCTAAAGTTATACAGCGGCTGGTACCGAGGCCTACGTAAGGACTTTATGTGGCCTACCAGATTCTGAGAAACCCCAACCAAGTCTGCCGCTACCTACTACAAGTGAGCCACACCACGAATTTGATGGGGCACCAGTTCAATTTTGTCGCTAATTAGAATGGGCAAGAATGACAAGATAACTTTTTCTCTCTCCATGTATTTCAGCCCCGAATCGTCCTCACAAAATACGCTGTTTCCGCTCCCTGCTTTTAACTGTACTTAAAAGACACCTAGACTATTTCCTAACCCACCTAGATTGCGATATATGTTGCCTGTGTGTCTCGACGGACGCTACACTGTTGCACAACCAGAATTAACCTACACAACTGAGGTCGCCCTTTCGGCATGCCCCTGTATCAACACTTTGGTGAGTCAACCAAAACCATGCTCCTTTTATCACTGTTTTCTAATCGCCATGTTGTGGTTTTCATTCTGGCCATCCTATGGGACTTGCTGATCATCCGATCCTTTGCCAGTAATATACGATTGTTCTATTGTTTCCGGACTTAAACTTTAAGTTGATGATGCAGTAGAGAGGAACTCCAGTGGTAAAAATTCCCGTGGTTCTGTATGAGCGACAACCCTCGTATCTATCCTCTACATAATGGCTTTTGTTTGCAGTATGTTTTTAGAAAAAATATCCTTCCATGGATTTAAGAATAGAAGTGTTCAAAGTCTGGTATGTTTGCCGAGCACCCATAGAGTTTAGTGTATATGCATAAACGCTTCGAGGATTTCAGGGAACTTATTATTTTGAAATTTTGTCAAGCGACTTGTAAAGGCTGACTTGTGCCCTTATTTGATGAGACAATATTGACAGCTTCGACGTTAGTTCCGTTGGCTTCATAGTTTTTCGCTGAGCTAATCTTCTGTTCGTGGCGTAAGTATTTTTTCACTGGCTTTTTCACCTACTTGTATGGGCTCATCAGAACCCCTGGTGTGCAGGGTCGAATTAACGATTCCATTGTGCTAAACTCCACTAAAGAACTATTTTCATTAGGAGCAAATCGTTCTGTACCCCCAGTCAAAACTTAAGACACAACCCGCTGCGAACTATGCCAGCATTTTGGGATCCGTACTGCTCTTTGTTGGGACTGCTGTTGATGGCAGTGATTTTTCAGTTCGTCGCATATAGAGAAAGTCCGGCGAATGTCTTATATACGTAAGACCACTGCTGTTGATCAGAAGTGGTTTTCCATGCGCATTGCACGTTTCAAGTTGGAGCGTAACGCAACTAAATATAGTTCTGATAATATTTCCATTTCAGCATGCTTCTGAAATGTGCTTACTACTGACGGCTTAAAACATGGGATTTCCGGCACGATAGAGAAGCACCAATAATCATTTCAGTGACAAGCTTATGATAACATAACGGATTCTGCTTCACTAACAAAGCCCAGCGTAACCCGCAGAAGGTATGCATTCGCTTTATTCTTCCATCCAGGTTGCCATGTGACCCGTACCAAATTCGAAGGCATAGCCACAACAGCAACTGGGTTACAGTTGCAGCACAAGCATTCTTATGGGAGATTTAGACGTCACGTTTGGAAAATCAGGGTTCTTTAAGTTTTACCTAGCATGAGATGTTCCAGATTCGCTTAGTGCCACAAGATTATCTGTGAACATTTTCATCGATTTACTGCACGATGCGGATGGTACGTGCGTCTGCAGAAGTTAGCATTGTCATTTAAATGTCTGCTCCTTTGTGTGATAAATAGGATCGTTAATTTTGTTTTTCGATGCCAGCAACCGCAACCCCACCATTACCCAAAATGATTGGCACTCTGTGCCTGGGCTCGAAATCGGGATTGAATGAAACCTTATAGTTAATACGCCGATCAATGATTGGCTTGTTGAGTGCAACCATTACAATCATAACAGTGAGTGAATTCATATGCTAATTTGTTCTTTTAGCTTTCGGTGTTGCCGTTCGTTCAAAAATGCTGACGGAAAAGGCCTTGCATGCGCAATACCCATTAATAAATTCCGTAAAGCGATTTTGTTGGTCCCCATTTCTGTAACCTTGCCTATAAGTTTTCATCAACTATGGGAAATAATAACAGTGACCTTGTATCACCTTTCACGTAACCCTTAATGGTATTAATGGCCTTTGGGCAATTTGAATACCTTTTGTGCTTGCCGTTGTACTTATGATGCGAGTAGCTACAATAGTAAATCAAGTAGATTCCGTCTTGTAAGGTTGCCACCGGAGCGAGACCCACAAAAGCAAATCACCTGCTGATATCAGGTGCCTCCTGTACCTAGTAGTGATTGCAGACCTTAATACTGACGTGTATTAGATTGTCTGCAAACGTTTCTATGATTGTCACAGTCAATCGGCTTGTGGTGAATATAGGGTAGTCTTGGTTGCGTCCCTCTGATGGAGCTGTGCTTTGGTCCTCCGACGTGTTGCTACAAGGTGCTAGATCAATGCATTGATCGGCTTTCGCAGCAGCATAAAAACGTATGACATGATGGACGAAATTTATGGTCTAGGTTTACTGATCTTGGTTTTTGTTGTGCAACGACAATTCAGTGCAGAGGATTAACAGAGCTCGTTCTATAGTCACTCCATACATTGATAGAGTAACACGCGGTACCGCATGTTCGAATGCCGTTGGAATGCGCTATAGATTGAGATCAGAGTTTAGTTTAGATAACGAAGTAGAAGAATCCTGTGCACTTGTATAACATCGAAACACTGTCGGGAAATGCTAAGCTTAGCAACAGCGTAGAGTTTTCAAAACTAATTACGAGAAATGGAATTAAGATGCAATGTAACACTTCGATTTCGTCAACGCCAGTAAAAGAGGCAAATTGCAATATGTTAATATTTCAACTGCTCTCCAAAGTCGTAAAAGCAGTATATTTCAGAAGTTTACCCTACTCCATAGCAGACCAACCAGGGAGACGTGACCAGTGCAAACAGCTGAAAAGAAAGGTGTTTATTTCTTCTTGCCCTTCAAAAGGGACCACGTGTCAAGCGACATTGGTCACAAGCTTAGGTCTGCTCTTATGCGCACTTACACCACAGCGCAGTTGTGCATCATCCATACCACACGAAGGCTTTCTCTCAACTACCGTCCGAGCTACTGGCTAGTCGGTTGGGCTTCTCAGGTTATTTACAAGTTCACCAGCGGTTGCGGTGACGTATACATAGGCAGGACCGACCCCCGATTAGCTCAAAGGGTAGTTGAGCGCTTCTCTCAGTGGTTACGACAGTCCATAGTCTAACAAGAAGGGATGGATCAAATGACGAACCGGAAACCTGCCTCATCTATCACAAAGCATTTCGTGACGACTGGCCATCATGTGGACCAATCCAAAGCGTTCAAAGTGTTATCGATTATCCGCAACTCGAAGAAGCTGGCGATCAGTGAGGCGCTACTGATTGCGGTGAACAGGCCGGCGTTGTGCTTACAAAATGAAGTGATGCAATTTATCAGATTGCCATGGTCATGATGTCGCACTTTATTTTTACCCCAGTGATTTCGTTTCATTTGTAAATACGTTATTTCTGAAAGGTGCTACGTTAGCGACTGAGGAGAGCAGTCGAAACGTTAACATATCGCAATTTATGTCTTCATTTTGCGTTGACGCCGTGAAACAATTCAAATCCAATAAGTGTAAGTCCAGTAACGTTTACTAATTGATAGAACCAAGGACCAGGATACTATGAATGCAGTATTACACTGCGCCGTATGCATATTGCACATGTTGTTTGGTCAGCCTTTTAGATCAGTCGACGGAAACGTCTACTGGAGTCTGAAGGCATGCAATTACCAGCAAGTATTTTCTGATATATTATCGTGAAAATGGAACTTCATGTACTTTAGTAGCATTGCTTAGAACATCAGCAGCCTCCTGTGATGATCTCAACAATTGCTGTTATTTTATACAGAGCACAACATTGAGGACTGAAAATTCATTTTGATAGTTCGATACATAGTTCAAACGGTTATCAGAAACCTAACCCTACTTGACATATTTATCAAAAATACACAATCAAAGCGATTGGGGTTTAGGAAGGAGATAATAATTGCATTTCGTAATACAAAATTGCGACTTACCTGCTAGTTGTGAAAATCCGTCAACAGTAAAATTAAGGGATCTCTCATATCTTTGAATTCGAACAGTGTGCCACTTTTTATCGGACACGTAAATTACATGTTTATATTTCTGAAAATGGAGATTAAAAAAATGATTAACATCTCTACAAGGTTACTTAAAATTTTGGTTGTGCATAATTTAATTTTTTACGGATTAAACGTTGATCGGTTGGCCTTATCATGAACAATATAATATGGCAAAAACCTCTATTTAGATTGGATGGTTTATAAAGACATTACAAGGTTGGACATTACCTAGCTAATTTCAGTCAGCAGAACTCATATTTTACCCATCCGAAAGCTGAGACTATAATATCCTCCCATTGGAAAGAGCTATGACAACGTTTTTTAAATGATGTAAGGTGCCTGCGCCTACGTAGGCGTCTAACACCTTTGGGAATTTCTGTTCATCATGTAATTGTTATCAAAATATCGTTGATATGTTAACTGTTTAGGCGGAGACGATGATCACATCTCTCACCAGTATCAACAAATGCCACTAGAGTGCCGATGTGATGACCACTATGACTTTCACATAATTTAAAATAGCAAGGCCTGGAGATATCGGTAAAAAGTGGACAAAAGATCAGCCGAGCGGTTTGTACTTTTCCTCAAAGAAAGTAAGCAGATATCGCTAAGACCAGGGGTAATAGGCTGGAGAGGGTACACCAGTTTTTTTGTTTTTTTTCAGCCCCCAATTAGAAATGGCTACTGTTTAGCTTAGACATGGTAGACGTGGGATCGCCTTAAAATGGCTGTGCGTTTTGGAAAGCAGAAACGAGTTGCTAATAAGGAAAATTGGCTTTTATTCGAGCTTTTTATTATTCACCTAATGTGTTAGTATTAGGGATGCCCGATGCGTTACGCATAGTTAGCTTTCATTTCACTAAGGCATCTTGGCATTGAAGCGGAGCACCAACGCTTCTCTTTGCGAAGCTATTGGCAAAATGGATAATTTGGGATATGCAATCCTTGTGGTCCTCGGCGATTCCTTGGATAATCAATAGGAGCCATTTAATTTCATACGTATATGCGTCGTAATCATTAGGAGGGTTTTAGCTCCGTTGAGCAAGTGGTGATGCTATTGACACTGGCGTTTTGCTGTGATCGACGACTTCCCAAGCAAAGTTAGCATGTTGACCTACATGAAACAACCCGTCGGTGGTGTCGATATTGTTAAGAATCATGTTGTGGTCCGCAATAACTGGTTAGTTCTATGTTCTTGTCTTAGTATATAGCTGAAATGACCTACTGAATCAGCGACGTTGCATAACTGCTTAGACCAATTGGACCTACTATTTATTAATGTTCGATATATGGATTCAACGTAAACGGAAACCTTTAGAGCACATGGTTAGTCACAGAAAAGCAACCATCACAGGATGATGCATGACTGTTACAACTAATTGGAATGTGGAATGAGCATTATGGTCGCCAAGGCACATAAAATGTAAAAACTTCGGTTTCACTTTACTTCAGCTATTAGGTGGATCCTTAAGTATAGTGTATGTGTGTGTTAAGGAGATATCGGGGTCTACGATTGTGTTCTAAATCATAACGATTTAAAACTACGCTTTGTTTATGTGAACGCCAACCCTCGCTTTTATTGTGCTGGCTTGTAATATATGATCTGGCATGGAAATCAATCGACGGTTCATGGTTCAATGTGTGGTATGTTTGAAGTGCTAGCAGCAAATATTCAAGAGTGATATCATGCCGTTCTCCTTATTTGGCCACTTTCACTTCAGTTTGAGAACGTGTTGTTTAGCGAACGATTTTGACGTGTAGTTGTAGAGAAAGATTGCCTGAGAAGGGTGCAGTCACATTGTAGTCTTGTTCAGCAGAAGACAGAAATACTCCAAAACCTTGCATACAGATTTATTCTGCTTTCTTTTGCCTTATGATATATTCTTCGTAATGTACTCATTGTTACTATCCGACCCAGCGAACTTTCCCAGAAGACATGCACAACCTGATTCAACCCGAAGTGTGTTACTGAAAGCGAACCGACTCTGCTTAGTATTTGGACTGCTGCATAACCGGCTTAATGCATGAGTTACCCTTGTTCTTCTGGTATAGGTGCCATACATTATGGCAGCTGGTGGGTTGTGAACGTCTAGGAGTTGTTAGATGGTTTAGCCTGTTTCCTGTCTTCAGCGAGGCCGCAGCTGAGTCAATAATTTCTGATACGTAATTTCCACTGGCTTTTGCATTTTCAAGAACTTGTCGGCCTAATGACTAGTGGGCCTAGTCATTTCATGTTTTGCAGGTCGCACGTACCGCATCTCTCGCGTTCCTCGCGATTATGACCGTTGCAATCACTGGAATAGACTCAACATCTGTACGCCGAGGCATATTCAACTGGCAGATCGTTCAAAAGAAATAAGCATGCCACGTTTTATTGGTAAACTAGATCTTATCTATCCGTTAAGCGAAGAAATTATGGAACTAAGTTGGGAATAGTTTAAGTTGGCATAGCTAGAGTTTTAACACTCTCCTGGGTAGGAAGTTTCTATGTGCATCACTTCAAAACATTGTCCTTACAAGTGTCATGTTCGATCTTTTTAGCAATGGTATTAGACTCCGAGCTACACTGTTAGGCAAATGCATTTCGACCTTGGCTTTTTGTTCTTGGTTCTGCCAACCTCGTCTCTTTCAGCTTGCCTGCAATCTTTACGTTGCTTTGTCCGTTGCCTAGAAAAACCGGTATACAGGAATATTACTCACAAGGAGAGAGAAGTAGGCGCCGCCACAAGCTTGTTCACGCACGCACTTGGTGATAATGATGGCAACGTGAACTGTACAAAGGGAATCGCGAGTTACCTAAACCAGCCATTAACAGCAGGAGTCAAAAGAGCGTTCCCGCGGTGCCCCGGGATGAAAATAACTTTTAGGGGTGCCATGGGAGGTCATAGGGGCATGTCGTGTATAGTGGATTGTGATGACACAAATAAAAAGATTCATTAAAATTTTCTAATACTTTCTCTTTGTGCACTAATGTGCTCTGGTAGCTTCAGGGCGCTGAAATGTATTACGCACGCGCAAGTCGCTATTTACGACGGTGAGAAAGCCAGACCGGGCAGCGTTTTTGTTACATAGCTGACACAATGAACCAACTGAGCATTATTTGGACAGTGATGCATCTTTAGGTCCTAAAGGTACGAGGCCCTTGAGTAGATTTCTCATCGCTTTGGATTAGAACGAATAACAGTCCGTAGGTGAGATCTACGCAATAAAGTATTTAAAACGCTACTTTGGCTTCATGATAATTGACTGCAAACTATGGTACGCCAAATACACACATTTTATGGTGTCCGTTTGTTATTAGTGCCGAAAGTTTAGTGCTCAATTATAAAATGATTTGGATTTTCAAGTGGATTTCGAATGAGCTTTGGCAAATTGATGAACTGAACAACGTATTATACCGCTACAAATAATTATCTGCGCGGTTTGTAGTGCTGATAAATTTAAGTACGTTGACTATAATTATCACATAGCGTTACGATGTTAGTGAATTTGTCCATAGATCAGTTTAAATCCGCTTTGCGGTAGAACCGATTCGGTGGCCTTGCTTTAGATAGTCCATTCCTCATCACTGTGCTGCATTCATTCAGACGACTAACATTTATCAGCTGTGTAAGGTGGATACATTTCTGCGGGAGTTTTCCTATCCCTCAACGTCTGATTCATGCCTGCAGTTGTGCTTGATTTTTGCTGAAATTTTCGAAATCAACTGCATGATATCTCAAGCTGTTCGTTGAACTTTGCACTCATGCAAAGAGTATACGTGAGGCGATGAAACTAAACACAAACCATGCTTGTTTTATATTAGTTGAAGTATCTGCCTTGCTTGTCTAGCACTTCATTAGAACTGATAGATAACCCAAAGCCAGTCATCAAACTCTGTAACTTTTCAAGCCATGCCTCGACGTTATTCATGATACTGACCAGCACAGTCACATCGCCCAACCTCAACTGGCCTGTCTAACCACATCGCTAGTCTGAGTGGTTTGCGTATAAGACCAGTCACAAAAGCACCGAACATTAACTAAGTTATTGTATCTTGTGACGACACCATGCTGAATAAAGGTAAACAATTATATGCGAGTCAAAATGTATCCAGGGCGAAGGGTGTTTTAGATCGGGAGAATGTTATTGATAAAGCACATCAAAGTCAGCCTGCCCGCAATGTTCCAAATGGTATCAAACAATTTATGCAAATCTTTTCAGAGAGTGATGTGAGGTCGGAACAGTTCCCAATATATTCTTTAGCTTTTTACTGTGGGTTTGCCCATCCCAGTAACCACGTGTAAGCTTATCATTTTCCAGATACACGACCGGTTAGCATCAGAAGCTGAACGGTTATTCAATGACATGATCACTTCCTTCAAATCGAGTATTGGTCAAGAAAGATTAGTGGCTTCTAAATAAAGCATTGGTACACAATTTACTTTCCTTAACACCGATTAGCAAGGACCTCAACGCTGTTATCTTTTTAAATATAGTGCTCTATTGCTCAAGCGATCCTCATGAAAAAGAAGATCAGGCAGCAGCCGAAACACGTGCTCGAGCAAGTTCCGATTATTTCCCTCTATCCTCTCTCCATCTTCTCGCAGCGTTGTCACGGTACGCTCATTCGAACCGGATTTACCAGCTCTACACAGTGATCCATCATACGTGAAAATATCTTCTACGATTAGAAGCTGTGCCATCAATATGCGTTTTTCACTGGCATCTGTGATTAAGCGCAAGCGTTTAACTCAATCGTATTGAGCCGATTGCCATTCTGTGTGACACCATTCGATACAGAATTCTCGAGGCAGGCCGAAAAGCCTAAGCTTACTCCGATCCAGTGTTTCTCAACACAGCTGTGAAAGAATCTGTGATCTGTCAATCTTTGTTCAGCGCTCTGTTCAGGTTCCAGTCACTCGCCATTCCTTGTGACCTTGTCAGCCAGTGCGGCTGCATTACCCATCACACGGACCGCGCGACCACGCCCACCGCTCATTTGACCTTGCAACCACCACGCTCGCCTGACTGATGTGCGCCGCTCGCAAAGCTGTAAAAGTA